TCCCCCCCCCATTAGCACGTGAGCCCCTTAAAGGCAGGGACGATTTTGTTTTTCTGTTTAAATCTCCAGCACTTAGCCCAGTGCTTTGCATATAGTAAGCACTTAATAAATGCTCCATCCATTCGCATATATGTGTGTATATACACATATATGCCTATAGAGAGAGAGCGCTGTGAAGTTTACAAAGCCCTCTACATACATAGTCTTATTGGATCCTCCCAACAGCCCTATGAGAAGTGGCATATTATTCCCATTTTACTGATGAGAAAACTGAGGCTGGGAGGTCAGATGACTTGCTCCAGGCACACAAGTGGTATTTGTACCCAGGTCTTCCTAGGAGGTGCCAGAGTGCGCAGAGCCCTGGGCCTGGAGTCAGGGAGACTCATCTTCCCAAGTTCAAATCTGGCCTCGGGCACCTGTGTGACCCTGGGCAAGTCACTTCACTCTGCCTCAGTTTCCTCATCTGTCGGATGAGCTGAAGAAGGAAATGGCAACCATTCCAGTATCTCTGCCAAGAAAACCCCAAATGGTCACAAAGAGTTGGACACAACTGAAATGACCAAACAATGGAAACAGCTTCCCAGCTAGCCCTGCCCCATGAGCAGACACAAGCGTGGGGCCGGCTGCCCACTGCACTGTCTCTGCTGGGAAGGGGGCAGGCACACTGGCGGCCCTCCCTCCTCCAGTGAGACCGCTCAGGCCAAGCCTGGTCCCTGCTTCGTAGAGGAAGAGACATTCCAAGGCTTTCCGGACATGGTCCTGGTAACGTTACTCCTCGCTCCCGGGTCTGCGGCTGTTTCCGCCACGCCCTACCTGGCCTGCTTGCGTTTCTTGCGTGTTGCCTGGGAGAGGTGTAAGCACACTCTGTTTTCTGCTCAGAGAAGAAATTCGATGCGCGCTGGGCAGTCCTGTTGGCACACGCCGAGCTGTTTGGTAGCACGTTCCCAGTAAACAGGGCCGACCAAGAATAAAGAGCGAGGCTGAATCAACATCTTCGTGTTTGGCTTGAACTGAATTCACCTCCCTCTGCCCTCCCCAAGCCCCGGAACGCCGTGCCCAAGCACCGTAATTCCTAGGCCCAAACAACTGACTTATTTTAAATAGCTTCTCAGGGAATGTTGCCGGGATTGCCAGGATGAAAAACACATTTATCATGTCATTTAGAAGGTTCTCTTGCCCTCTGTGCCTTGCCAAGGCAAGGGAGCTCATGGGCTTGATGTCACAGTCCACTTTGGAGTGTCAGGGAGGCAGCATGGGATGTAGAGTGCTGGACCTCAGAGCAAAGAAGACCTGAGTTCGAATCTCGCTTCTGACATTTATTAGATGTAGACCATGTGCAAGCCACAGCCTCTGAGCCTCAGTTTCCCCACCTGTAAAATGTGAATAAGAATAGTACCTTCCTCCCAGGCTGTTGGGAAGGTCCAGTGAGATCACAGATATGAAGTGCTTTGTGCACCATCCAAATGCTTTGCTGTGTTTTTGTTGTTGTTTCAGTACTGTCTGACTGTCTGTGACCCCTTTGGGGGTTTTCTTGGTAGACATGCTGGTGTGGTTTGCCATTGCCTTCTCCAGCTCATTTTGCAGATGAGGAAACTGAGGCAAACAGGGTGAAGTGACTTGCCCAGGGTCACACAGCCAGTAAGTGTCTGAAGGCAGATTGAACTCGTGAAGATGAGTCTTCCTGACTCTAGGCCTGGCGCTCTATCCACTGCACCATCTAGCTCCCCCAGTACCGGGTACTGTTACGAAGCTGGAGTAGACTGTGTGGTTAGACTTGATGCATTCTGTCCTTAGCGTACATACATTTGACCCCATGGCTTCCACTGAAGTCACCATGGTACAGAGGTGACCCTAGGCCATTATCTGAGTTAATTGCCATGCCTTGTTGATTCTGCCTCCCCAACATCTCACCTGCACATTTCCACTCACGCGGCCATCACCTCTGGGTGGAGTGTTGGAATGGCCAGCTTGTTGGTCTCCCTGCCTCAACTCCCTTCCTGTTCTCCTGACTCTGCAGATCCAATCTCTGCCGAACCCGCCAGGGTGATGCTGCTGAAGCACGAGTCTGATAACGTCACTTCCCTGTTCAGTACACCCCAATGGCCCCCCTATTATTTCTAGCATCAAACACAAACTCCCTTGTTTGGCATTTAAAGTCCTTCTCAACCTGGCTTCAACCCAGATTTCCAGCCATTTTATGTTATTCTCCTTCAGGCATTGTTCAGTTTAGCCAGATTTTCCTTCCTGCTGTCCCTCATGTGATTTCTGATCTCCACACCTTTGCATAGCTTGGAATATACTCCCTTTCTTAGAATCCCCAGTTTCCCCAAAAGCTCAGCTCCAGAACTGTCTTTTATTGTAGGTCTTTACCTGATCAATTCAGATACTAGTTGTCTTCCCCGTCTAAAAATTACTTTGTATTTATTTTCCATACATAGATGTATAGATCTCTCTTCCTAATAGAATGTAAGCTTCCTGAGAACAGGGCCTTTGTATTCTCAGCACTGAGAACAGATTCTGGCACACAGCTGGCATTTAACAAATGTTTGTTGATTAATTGGTTGATGGCAATTCCTACCAAGCTGGAAGTCCTTTGAATACAGACTGGCTTTATGACTGTCATCTGAAGATCCAATCAGCTAAGTATGAGAGATTCATTACCGGTTGTATGGCCACTAGGTTATGACTGTTTTCAGCCATAAAAAATAGCCATTGGCTATTCACTAAGATACAGAAGTTTTGAGTGCAAGGAATAAGGAGACTTGAAAAAACAAGTCGTTGAAGAGAAAATCCATTTCAACACTCATACGTGCATACATTCAGGGCACCATGTTGGGTACTAGGAATGTTCAAATACCCATCCCTTAGCATTTGCATTCTCATCCCCGGGACTTTTCTGTGCAGTGACCTAGATCATGGTCCTTCCATGCTTTCTCATCCTGCCTGGCTCTTGTCTGTGTCTTCCTACAACTGCCATAGAAGGTCCATCCAATGTGTTGGAACTTTCCCTTGCTTTCTCTTGATGTGCAAGAAGACCAGAGGAGCACATGGGTTGTCCTTTGGTATTCTCATTACTTGACCAACCCACCTTTTTTCAAGTCATGTAATTCTTCAATGACATCTTTTCCTTTAGCTCTTTGTAGCTCTTTACATGTTCTGTGTTACAGACTGTTCACACCTACCAGACTTTCCATTGCCCTAAGAAGGTAACTCTTTAAATTCCACAGTGTACTATGGATACAAAGATAGAAAATGTCACCAACTTTGCCCTGAGAAAGCTGAACATTTCTATTCATTTTTGTTGGGTGGAGTCAGATCTACAGATAAGTATGATGCCAGGTATAAATAATGTGATAGAAGTGTTAGCATTAGGCTAAGTAAAATGCTCTCAGAAACTGGAGATGGGAGAGATGATTTCTTTTGAAAGAAAGGTCTATACAAGACCATGTCTTGGAGGAGGATGATATTTGAGTTGGGCCATTAAGGAAGGAGGAGGCTTCAGGAGACCCAGATGTCAATGGGCCTTGGGTCTGTGCCATATAAGGATCAATTGAATGAATTGGGGATGTTTAGAAAAGAGAAAACTAGGTGGGGAGTTGGGGAGGACAGGAGCTGTCATATGGAAGAGGATTAGAGTTGTTCTTTTAGGCCTCAGAAGACAACATCAGGAGCAGTGGTTCTGAAAAGAGGACAACTAATTTATACCTGATATCAGAAAAAACAATTTCTCACAATTTTAGCCATTCAGAATGGGCTGCTTTAGGATATAGTGGACTCTTAGGAATGTCTGGGGAAGGGAGAGGATATCTTTAAGCAGAAGTTGAATGGCCAACGAGGTGACTGATACAGCTCCTAGTTGGGTCAGATCCACAGGAGAGTAGAAGTCAGTGGGCGTTGATGAGGTCAGGTGTATCTTAAAACTTGAGTTCTCCTTCTAGTTGCTTTACAAATGAATCTGTTCTGAGGGAGACACTTGACTAATTCCACCTTCCATGTCACTTGGATGTAAGAACTAGGATGTTTGAGGTCTTCCCATGAGCAAGAATTCCTTCCAAAAGTCCAGTTTGGCCATCTCTTATTATTTGTGACTTGGGACATTTTTTCCTGTGGTCGTTAATAGTTTGCAATTCTTCTTTTGAAAACTGTTCATAGCCTTTGAACACTGATTTATTTGGGGGGATAACTTTCAGTATTATATATTTGTTAGTTATCTAAATATACTGAATACCAAACTCTTATCCAAAAAATCTGGTAGAAAAATGTTTCCCCATTGACTGCCTTGCTTGTCCTAGATCTACTAGTTTTGTTCCACAAAAGCTTTTCAATTTCATGTAATCAAAGTTACTCATTTTGTCTTTTATAACTGACTCTCTCCCTTGTTTAGTTAACGATTCATTTTCTATGCATGGCTCTAAGAGGCATATTATTTATTTCTCTACTTATTTTCATATGATCTTTAATATTCAGGTCAAGTATCCGTTTTGAATTTATAATGGAATATGGTATAATAAATTGGTCTAAGCCTAATTTCTGCCAGACTGCTTTTCAGTTTTCCCAGACGTTTTTATAAAATAGAAGTGTTTTCCCAAGTAATTTATGTTTGGAGTTTATTGGATACTGGATTATTAACTTCCATTATCTCTGATTCTCTCTTGTATAATCCATTTTATTGATGGACTTTTCTATTTTTTAACATTATAGAGGAGGGGAGACGAAAGAGAACAAGCATTTATTAAGCACCGACTCTTGCCGGGCACTGTGCCGAGAACTCTACAAATATCTCATTTGATCCAATACCAAATGGTTTCGATGACTGCTACTTTATAATATGGTTTGAATTCTGACTGCTGTTCCCTTCTTATTCCTTCCTTTTCCCCCCATTATTTCCCTTGATGTTCTAGATTTTTTTTCCTGCAAATGAATTATTATTTTATCAGATTCTATAAAGTGTCTCTTTCATTGTTTCCTTCCTAAAGTTTTCAATTTTGTTTTCCCCACAGATTCTTAGAATCTGCACAAGATACACACCTGAACAAGACACAATGACCTTTTCCGATGGCCTTACCCTAAACCGAACCCAGATGCACAATGCCGGCTTTGGACCTCTCACAGATCTGGTGTTCACCTTTGCCAATCAGCTCCTGCCTTTGGAGATGGATGACACAGAGACAGGCCTTCTTAGTGCCATCTGTTTAATCTGTGGAGGTACTGGCCATGAGGATCTCCTGTCTTTGAGCTTTGATAAGGAGAAAGGAGCTTCATCCACATCTCAACAGCAGGCTTATTTTTCAGGAGACAAGGCATAGGAAGAGAGATTATTTTTTGTTTTGTTTTTACCTGTTTTTATGAGCTACATGATGGTATTTAAGCTCCTTCTCCTCCTCTTTAAAGATTCAAAAATACTGTTTTGCTGAACACTTGCAGGGCTTTTTTTTCATTCTTTTTTTTTTGTTTTGTTTTTTAGGCAGGATAATACTATTGTCAAATTCTCCAGAACACCTTTTTGGTGGCTTGGGAAATTTGAATGGGATATTAAGTTAGCTCCCAAGGATGCGTGCCAAACACTTGAATTCATTGGCCCACTGGTGCCCCAGTAGAGCGAGGAGTCTTCTTTCCAGTGAGATATTAGCATTTCAAAGTAACTACATCACAAATGGTTAAACAAATAACAATGGCTTTAAGAGATGGGCTCCCTTCTTTAAAGCAGTCCCAGATTTGTGGTCTCTTAGTTCTGTAATGCCATCTTCTGGCCAAGACAGGGAGTTCACTTAAACCAGTTACTCTAGGCTAGAGGGCAGAACTCTAGTTTGGAGGAAGTTATAGAAAAAACAGAATTCAGCTTTATGTCAGACTTTCTAAATATTAGAGTGACCCCAAAGCGAAATGGGATGCCAGGACAGATTGTGGGTTCCTCTTCACTGGAGGCCTTCAAGCAGAGGCTGAGTAATGATTAAATGGCTTATGAGGTCCCTTACAGCTCTGAGATTCTGCAGTCTCTCATCCAATGTTCAACTTGGCACATTCGTTCTAAATTTAAAAAGTGACTGCACCACCAAATTCAGAGGGGCCAAGTTTCTAGTGGCTTTTAAGATGAACAGCCAAGTAAGGACAAGAGGGAGGGAAGGTGAGATTTGATTTATCAGGGCTGCAGATGAAATCCAGCAAACAACAGATGCCTGGCTGCTTTTTAACCCTCCTTATGACTGCAGGGTGGGCTCTAACACAGGCAACTGGCCTCGGGAAAGTCACTGGGCCCCTTAATGCTCTAGCCAAGTCTGTAAGACTCTGAGTGGCAGAGGTGGCCACCTGCATTGGTAGAAGAAGTGTCTTTAGCCAGCTGTTCTCTGTGCTAATGAAATCAGAGACTCTTGCCCTACCATGTCCCCAGTGACTGCATACTTTCTTTCTGGTCTCTAGATCGTCAGGACCTAGAGGAACCAACAAAAGTGGATAAGCTACAAGAGCCATTGCTGGAAGCACTGAAAATTTACATCAGAAAGAGACGGCCCAACAAGCCTCACATGTTTCCAAAGATCCTAATGAAGATCACAGATCTCCGTAGCATTAGTGCAAAAGGTATGGAGCTGCTGTTTGCCGCGGTTTTGTTTTTTTACAAGAAATCAGGACAGACAATTCTGAGAACTATTTAAAAAAAACAAACCCCAGTGTCTTTTCCTCAAGTGTGGCATGATGCTGGCCCTGGAGTCTCTTTGAGACCCAGAGACTCTCAGAGTCCTCTTCAGCTCTCTAAAAGAGGGTTCTTCCAAGCACTGCCTCTGTCAGGATTAGGGTGGGGAGCTTTCCGTCTAAAGAAATATAAGGCATAAAAAGGAGATAAAGAGGGGTGAGGATGCAAGCTTCTTGAAAACAGGGACTGTTTCTTTTGTTTCTGTATCTTAACCCCTAGAACAGTGCCTGGCACATAGTCAGTACTTAATAAATACTTGTTGACTGACTGAAGATGAAGAAAGTGAAAATATTGTTTTAAACTTATACAAGGCTAACTGATGCCACTTAATTGCAAGAGAACATTGAGAATGCTGACATTCAGAAAACTTAAGTTTTCAAAAATTACTTTTCCTTTTTTTTTTTTTTTGGTGAGGCAATTGGGGTTAAGTGACTTGCCCAGAGTCACACAGCTAGGGAGAGTTATATGCCTGTGGCTGGATTTGAACTCAGGTCCCCCTGACTCCAGGGCCAGTGCTCTATCCACTGCATCACCTAGCTGCCCCCAAAATTACTATTTTGAAGGAAAAAACAATTATTCTTTGATGTTCTAGGAGAGGTCTCATTAAGGAATTATTATTTTCGTAGCACTTCAACATTTGCAGGGCCGTTTATATGTATGATATCATTTCATCGTTACAACCACCTTGTAAAGTATGTGCTATCTATCTCCATTCTGCAGTTGAGGCCACTGAGGCAGGCACAGGTTAAGTGACTTGCTCAGGATCACACAGCTAGAAAGTGTCTGAGCCAGGAATCAAATTTATCTTCCTTACTCAAAAGCCGCTATACATACTAGGTTGCTTCCCATATTAATTCCCCTGCTTTGTACATCTTTCTAGTTTTCCTACACATTATTTATGGAAATCCCTATAGTCTTGAAGAAAGGCCCTTAGAGATCCTCTTCATTTTGCAGATGAAGAAACAATGGCTTAGAAAGGGGAAGGGATTTGCCCAACGTCTCATAGGTTGTATATGGCAGAACCGCCAAGTGAGAGCCAAGATTGGAACTGAACCTCAACACAAATGGAACAGGGTCTCTGTCACAGGTAGCTTTACTTCAGGACACCGATAGGCAAGAGAGTGCCAGCCTTCCTGACAGCTAGAAGTATTTTGTGCCTTGTGATTTCCAGTTCAGAGATGACTCAAGCAATTACAGAAGTGCCCAGAGCCAAAAAACAGGGACTTGGGTGAGGTGAAGGCACCATTGTTGGATGCTTTTGTTGAGAAATTCAACAGCAGTCGATCACTGGTAACAAGTGCTTGTCATCCTCATCTCGCCATTATGGCACCTTGCCTCTGAAGACCTGCTGAAGTTTACTTGCTTGTGTGAGCTGAGGAAGCAGCTCTCAGTTTGGGGGAGTTACGGTCCTTGGGATTCTGCCTGCCTCTTCTGCCGTATTAGAGCAGTGCCTGATGACAGCAGGCTCATTGCATGCCTGGAGGGGCTGAAGTAAGGCTGACAGGTACTTTCTGGAATAGAACAGGTACCACCTCATTAGGCATTGTTTTCTCTGTTCTGTGGATTGGAAACAAAAGTTTTCATCCCAGCGGGAGGCAGAGAACATTTTTTGCTCAACACCAAATCCTTCAGGTGAGGAGATAGCATAATGGATGAGCAAAGTGAGAGATATACATACATACATACATGTCATGAGTTCTCAGGAAGAAGAATTAGTCAAGTGTTTCTAGTGTAAACATATTTATTGTATTGGAGTTGGGGGGGGGCACAAAGTGGCTAATTTCTGCAGCTCCATACCATAGCAAAACCATGGAATTCAGAATGGAAAGACCCTGGATTTGAATCCTTGCTCTTCTACTTAACTTTGTAATCTTAAGGAAGATTATAACCTCCTTGGTTCTCAGTTTCATCAACTGAAAAATGAGGGAGCTCTAAGGTCTGCGGAATGTAATTTGAGGTTTCTCCAAGGAAACTAAAAAAGGAATGAAGAACCATTCTCTATGTCAGAATGTTCTAGCTTGGGTCAGTTAATATACATTTATGACCTATGTGGATTTCCCCCTTATGGTCTATTATATGTTCCATTTGCTGACTTAATTATAAGAGAAATTAGGTTTTGGTCAATTCTCTTTTAATATCTCTTTTTAGGTGATGCTCAAAGTCCACAAGAGACATTTGCTCCTGAAATATTTTGATTGCAGGGTTGAGCCCATATCAGCCCGTGTCAGTATTTAGTCTCTACTGGTGAGGCACCCTGTTTTTCTGAATTGATGTGGTTTCTTAGAGTCTTAAGAAACTATAGATGAGTAAATGCTTGTAAAGCTGTGGTTAAGGCACAGTTCTGTGAGTTATCAGAACAATTTTCTGTCTTGTGTCAGTTTCCAAGTTGAGAAGCTGTAATAGTTTTCACCCGTCTTTAAAGAAGAGGAATAAGGTACGTTCAGAATGGAAAAATTCTCCTCTAATGCTCAAAAGTGATTAGCAATTAGCATCATGTTATCGGAGAGAATAATCTGGGTCATGCTGTTATTGGCCTTTTTTTAACTTGCACAAACTATTTATGGTCTCATTTTTAAAACTTCAGAAACCAAGAGGCATCTGGCTTGTTTGCGTTTCCAAACTAGATTATTTGTAGGCGATATTTGGTATGAAGGAGGAAGTATCCTTGTGAAAGGAGCCCTAAAGTCCCTTATGTTGGTGTGCCGAGGAGAGGAGAGGAATAAAGCCATGTGGCACAACTTCAGCAGATTTCTTTGCTCTCTTTTCAAAGGTGCAGAACGTGTGATTACACTGAAAATGGAAATCCCTGGCTCAATGCCCCCTCTCATTCAGGAAATGCTGGAGAATTCTGAAGGACATGAACCCCTGACACCAAGTTCCAGTGGCAATACGGCAGAGCACAGTCCTAGCATCTCACCCAGCTCCGTGGAGAACAGTGGGGTCGGGCAGTCCCCACTGGTGCAATAAGACATTTTCCAGTCACTTCCGACATTCCCCACTACCTTCTGTTCCCGGATTTAAAAAGCAAGAAAAAAATTTTTTTTTTACTGCTGCTTAGTTTTGGGACTGAAAAGATATATTAAAATTCAAGAAGGACCAAGAAGTTTTCATATGTACCAATATATAAATATATATATATACATATATATATATATATATACTCCTCACTGTTTGATTCCTAACTAGAAATACAGACTTAAAAATGTTAAAATCAACCATTTCATGCAACCAGAAATTCGTTAAAAGCTTCTATTTTCTCTTCTAAACACTCAAGATTGCATGACAAGACCAATTCCACCCGATTGAAACCCTGGTTAGAGTTCTAAGGACTTTGTACATACAGATGTCTGGCTCTGCTCTTTCTCGACTGGATGTGTGGTGCTTTCCTCTTGTCTTGCATACCCCAAAAGACCACGACATCAAGGTCGTGAAAAACAAGGCGACTGTCCTTGTCCAGTTAAGAAAGGTTAAAGAGACACGGTCTTGCCTTCCCAGACCGCTCCAGACACCCGGGGAACGACGTAAGACTGGAATGTACATCCAGACAAGGGAGGTTGAGAGAGATTCTGGGTTAGTTCGTATGGAAACATGTCCTGGCTCTTTCTGATGCTCTCAAACTGCATCTTCGATTCCGTGTTGCCCCGTAACAAGTAGATGACCTCGCTGCACTAGCAGAACAGACTTCTGTTTCAGCGTAACTGCCAGTTCAGTTTAATCCAATGTCATTTGTCCAACTGTTAACGTCCTTTAAATGAGAAGTGGTTTATTACTTGTTTGATGACAGAACTACACATTTGAAGGAGAAGAGATACTGCATTTTTACAGTAAGGACAGCCGACAAGGCAGAAACACTTTTCAATGTCAGGATGTTTCTGTTTACCTGTTCACAAGCCATTAGGGAAATGTCACTGGATAACGAGTAGGCTGGGCTCCCACCTATACTTTGCAAGTCATGCCAGGTGTGGGGATGTTCCAGCCTCCTTGATGCCAAGGGCCATCACTAATTCCCAAAGGCATGGGCAGAGAAGCTGTCTCTTTTGACTGTAATAGAGTGGTTAACAGATGAAAGGGTCAGTTTCTTAGGTCTCATTTAAGCACTAGTGGATTTTTTTTTCCTGATATTTTAGGAAGTCTGTGATGTACTTTCACTGGCTCTGTTTGTACATTGAGATTGTTTAACAATGCTTTCTATGTTCATATACTGTTTACCTTTTTCCATGGAGTCTCCTGGCAAAGAATAAAATATATTTATTTTAAAGGTGTGTGGGAGCTTGAGTTTATCTTCATTAAAGAGGCAGATAACACAGTTCCATTTTTAATGTTTAAATTTCATTTCAAAAAGCAGGTCCTTAGTCTGCAACCATGACAATTAAAATGTGTGCTTGAGCACAGCAGCCTAGAACATCTCTACAAGCCAATCAGACAATACGTGACATTTCAATGAGTAAAAAAGGGCATAAAACTGTATGTGTAAGAACAAAATGTTAAAAGGCCTACACACAATAATAAAAACCATCTATTACATCATCACAGTAAAATAAGCCAAATGTACAAAAGTCTGCGACAGAAAAGACAAAAAAGACAACACAAGGTAGTCATTGAAAATGTTTGAGTGCTCTTCGGGCACTTAATTAAACATTGCAAAATCAACATCTTCATCAGACTCTGCAAAATATTTTACTTCTTTTCTGGTGCGACCTGTCCGAGGAAGAGATGGTGGTTCAGGGGGAAAGTCTGCCTGGAAGATGTCCATGTCTGAATCCTGGTCGAAGGAGGCCTTCTTGGATTTCTAAGAATTAAAAAAAAAAAACCAAACTTTGGATTTAATGATCCAAGAAAAATTACTGTTCACAATCCACCTAACATATAAAAGCATCCGTGGCAGCTGCATTTTTTCATTAAAAAGCAGAGAACTTTATGTTCAATGAAGAAAACAAACATGTTTTCCTGAGAAAGTAGATGGAATCTAGCAATTCCCCACTGTAGCTGCACTGTAGACACTAGCTAGAGATGTGTGCTGGGTTACAGGAAGATGTTAGAACGCAGTCACCACCCACAATTATTTCATATCTGAAGGCTAACTAACGAAAAAACCCAAACCACAAACAGTCAGCAAGCCCCTCCAGTGTTCCCATTGTAGCTGGGCAAAATAAAAATAGTGTCAGTCACGAGTCTCATACTCAAAGAACCTACAGTCTCTTTTGGGAAACAAAACTAGTACACAGTAGTGAATTAAGAGCTAGGGTGTCTTAAGTACCAAGCCAGAGGCAGCGAGGTAGCACAGTGGATAAGAACAAGGGGTTTGGAATTAGTAAGACCTGAGTTCAAACTCTGACTTAGATAGTTGTGTGACACTGACCAACTCACTTCACCTCTGAGTCTCAGTTTCATTATCTGTAAAATGGGGATAACAGCACCTACCTCAGAGTGTTGCTGTAAGGATCAAATAATGTGATTGTAAAGCACTTTGTAAACCTTAAACTGCTACTATTATTATGAAGAAGATGATGACAAAAACACGAACCTGTGTTAACCCACTCTACCAACTCTCATAGATTATTCTGCCTCCTTTTCCTTGCCAGGCTCAAAATGAATGGGTCCAGGCTCTACATTGGACTTGTGGAAGAAGCAGGTAATCCCGCTTGGATACCTAAGGTCCCACCAAAGACCTCCTTACAAAATAAATAATTCTGTGGTACAGGAGGGGAGGCATCCTGCTTCATTGTTTCATTATTGCCTAACTCTAGGTCCTCCTAGAATGTATGCTTTTGGAGAATCAGAATGAATGTAATTTATAATTAGGTGCTAAATTGTGTGATTCAAACTCTTCTAAGCGCTATAAAGGAGAGAACTGACAGGCTAGAGTAGTTGTAAGGGCTTCATGCAAGTGGACTAAAAGCCAGCAGGTCCTGGGTTCCAATTCTGGCAGGCAATGCCATCTATGCAGTCCTCAGTTTGCTCCTCTGCCAGATGAAGAATGGCTTAATCTGTAAGGTCCATTCCAGCTCTGAGAGGGTGTGATCGATAAACCAGGCCTTGAAGGAGGGGAAAGATTTGGCTCTGTGGAAAGAGTGAGTGTACTCGGGTATGCGGAGTGTCAAAGTATGGGCAGTAAAAATGAACATGGATGCAGGAGAGGCAGGAGAAAGATGGGACTGACAAGTTGGCAGCTCCTGTTGGGCAACAGGGAGAATTAAGCCTGGATAAGCAGGAAGATGAGACAAAGATCCTGAACACCACAGAAAAGAACTTCCTAGAAGGCAGAAAGGATGAGGGACCCGGACAAAAACAGGCTGAACCAGACGAATGGTACCCAGAATAACAAAGGCAGACAGACTGGTGGCAGTAAGAATGGAAAAGAAGGGATAAATCCGAGAACCAATTCTGTGGAAGAACTGCCTGGCCTTGATGACCAACTGGGTGTTTGTTGGTAAGTGGTTTGCGAACAAATGTGGCTGTGAAGCAAACCTGCTACTATCTTACTGCAGTTCAGCTGCCCCTGGAGACAGACTTAGCCAGAAGGCGGGGCCCAAGAAAGGGTGCCTGGGCTCTCACAGAGGAACTGCAGAAATGGCTAGGAAGATGGGGGAGAGTTTCTTTTGTATTCAATGGGTTTGAACTTTAAAGAAGACAGGGCACTTCACAATGTAGCTGGATTGATCTGAGGTAGGCACAAGTGCAGGCTCCCCTCTCCCACCTCCCAGAAGAGGTAAGCAATGAGGAAAACAACAGAGAAGAACTCGTAGCGCCCTAGAGATAAATTAATTTGGTTCATCCATCCAATGCCAGGAAAAGGGGCAGAGGTAGAGAGGCATTTTCCTGCCTCCCCTTATGGTGGTAAAAGATGAGAGAAGGCTATGAGCTTTGTAGCCAGAAATGGATGGGAGGGTTGAGGGGGCATAAATCTAGAAAACAAAACACTCTCTTCACTGTAGCTGAGGCTTTGGAGCTTGAGGTTTCCAGACTTCTATAGAAGCTGTTTACTCCTAGAGGTCGCTTTTTGGACCTCAACCATTTCTAGGTCCCTGGCAAGGCACTCTTATTCTGTTACTCTGTTCTTGAATTGGCTGAATCTTACCCTGACTCCTGGTACCCAAATATTCATAGGAATCCCTGGAAAAAATATGACACCCTTATTTCTGCTTTTCATATGCACATTTGTTACAGATAAGTGCTGGTTAGGATTTCTGTAGTCTGTTATAGCTAAAATTCTCCATGCAAACAAGGTAACAGCGAGGCTAGCAATTTGTTTCTGCTAAAATTTTCCCCAAAGCAACTAATGTATATTTTAATCTTGTGTGCCTGCTCAATATATACACCTGTTTTCAAGGAGCAACTTGAGTATGTTTGTAATTAACTTGGTGCAATCTACCAAGACATGCTATCAACAACATCCCAGGATCACTCTGCCTAAAAAACTAGTTCTATAAAAGAAAATGGATTATAGCCATGTTAACAGGTCTAGTGAAGAATGCTAACTCCCTGGAAGAGCTGAAATTCTTTATATTGTTAACAATATAAAGACAATGAAGATGACCACATCAGAGACAAGAGTTTCCTGGACAGGACTTCGGAAGAACAGTGATGTTATGAGCAGAAATGGAAAGCTCGATTTTTTAGGGTAGGGGAATGAGGTAATGGGAAGTTCAACTTTGAACACTGAGTTTGAGGGAATATTAGGTCACCCAAAAAGGAAATGCCCTGTGGGGAAATGGAAACATAGACCTGAAGTATATGTGTGAAGTTAAGGCTGTAGAGAAAATCTATAAGTCATTAGTACTGAACTTATAATTAAAACCATAAGATGAGTTTTCCAAGGGTGTCAGTTTTGAGAGGAAAGGACAAATGGTTAAGTATCAAGGTATATACTACCAATCCTATGAAGCACATTTCAGAACTAAAAGTCAACAAGAGATAAGAAAAGTTTTAATTTTTTAAAATCTTAATAAAGAAGTTCCTGATTCACTATCTTATATAAAAAAGGCACCTGATACTACTCATCCTTCTGTCGCAGTGTACAGGTAGAGGCAATCCAAAAATTAATTCTTGTTAAATAACTGAAAGCTTTTTCAAAAAACTTTCCTTACTTGTCACAAAGAAAGATATTTTATAATATTCAAACTGGTGTATTGCAAAGGATGCAGAGGCCAAACTCTGCCCCTAACTAGCTGCATGACTGGAAGAGTCACAAGCCTTTTGGGCCTCAGTCTCTATATATAAGATGAGGGGCTGGATTAAATGATCTATAAAATAGCCTTGTCTGGAGAAGGAAATGGTAACTCAGTCCAGTATCTTTGCCAAGAACATCCCATGGACAGCATTGGCATGGTACAGTCCACAGGGTCATGAAGAGTCAGACACAACAAGATACCCTTCTAGCTGCGTGGCTCCCCACCTTCACAGAATATACCTGCTACTGTAACAGGGATAGTATGGAAGAGGGCGTTAGATCTATTCCTTATCTTCAACATAGATGAACTCTGAATTCAAAATGAGCAAATTATTTAATTCATGGAAATACTTTTTACCCATTTAAAAGTTGCTAAGGAACAAGAAATTCTCCTATATCCACTGACAAGTAGCCTATTTAACCAAGCACAGGCCATGGCTGATGTCCGAAATGCCAAGTGGCGCGCCTTGATTTCAGTGAAATAAGTAGCACAACTGCTTAAGTCAACCACTCGATAGTGATCTTGAACAAAACTGTGAGATAACAAAGTCATAGATCACCTTGCCAGGTGTGGACTTGGACGTTTTTCTCCCAGGATTGTATTCGCCTTCATTTTCGGAGCCAGATACTTTCCGTTTTTTTGCACCTCGGCCTTTACCTTAAAAGGAAAATCAGATTTTTAAAAATATCATAAGTGATGGCCATTATAAGAATGTAAAAATGGCTATTATTTGAATCTTCCTCCTTTTTTATTCTTAGTCAATACAACAATATTTAAACTTTAATTACGAAAATTGTAAGGACTATGCTAAAGTTCATTTGAATTTTAAAAAGGTTTCTGTAAGAGTCTTGGGGCACTAGAATGGGTTGCCAAGAGACATTATGGAAGACTACCACCTAGATCACTGAATTAACACATAATTTTAAATGCTCTATGATATACCATATGCCACAGTATTCTAAATTACCATGGCTCCAATTTCATTCCCTTTAATCTCTATTCTTCTGTCTTCTTGGGGCTGTGACTCTTTAAACTGCCCAATGTATAATTTTTTCCTCATTTTTGGGAGGGTTGGGAGAAGGATTCTTCAAAAACCAAGCTGTGTCTATACGAAGAATTGCTCATCATGCAAGACGGTGCAAACATTCATAGGAAACTACATAAAATTGGCCTTGTAGTTCATATCAAGCACTGTGAGTGGTGAGTCAACAATAAAGATTGCTGATTTCTTGAAACTCTTAACTATATAACTAGCAGCAAATGTTCTAGTAAACTCATTTAGAAGCTGATAAATCAGCCCTTTGGTATAAAAGTCTGCTGGCATATATTTTATATGTATGTATGTATGTATGTATAGTCAGTCATCCATTGAGAAACTGTTTGGCTTGCTTTCAAAAAGCAGCAACACTTAAAATATAGGTCAAATACTTTACAGCCAACTCTATTACAATATATGTCCACATTAACTAAAAAATTTCTAATCCCTAGCTAATTTTATATCAAGTAATCATTAGTACAAATACCAATACACAAAAGGTTTTTATTAACAGGATTTTAGCAGGCATCCTTTTTCTTCCCCAAACCTGAAAATAAGCCCAACTTCTTGCAAAACAACTATCTAGTAACTTCCTTCTTCTGGGTCTAAGTTTAAGATCAGTGTAATTACTGTTGGAGCATGAAATTTCCATGATAAGCTATTAAAACAACTCTGGGGGGAAGAGCCTGCCAAACCCCATCAAGGTAAAAAAGAAGGGTAATGAGAGAAAGGAAGGACAGGTACCATGTCCTATGTTGTCATCCACTAATCTCTCTGTCTTATTTCTTATGGGGTCACAGAAGACAGTGTCATGCAGAGGTGTCAAACACAACATAGCCCACAATACTCCTGAGTGGAGCCCAAACCAAATTAAAATGTAATTGGTAAATATTTAATAAAACAAATAAAACATAATAAAACCTATAATATTACAATTTAAAACTAAGTCAATATGCGGCCATAGCTTTAGTGGTCCCTGTCTCTATTTGAGTTTGACACAAATGGTCTAGTGTATATAGATACAGTACAGGACAAAGAGGCAGAAGACTTTTAAGTGTGGTTCAGCAAAAGTTTTATGACCCCAGGCAAGTCACTCAACCTTTATGGATCTCAGTTTCCTCACTGCTTTACTTGTAAAACAAGGGATGAACAGACAGATTTCTTAAAGTTCCTCCCATAATTACAATTCTATTATACACCTTTATAAACAGGTATCAGAAGGAAAACAATTGAAATTGATTTGCTCTCTGCCTCCCTTTAAATCTACAAATCTTTGGAGATAAGAAAGGGTAAGAGAAAAGAATGCAAACCTTTTGGTGCAGTTGTCTTCTTTGGAATGCCAAATTCTGAATCTGAGTCAGAGTTTGTAGTTTCTATTTTCTTCTGTTTGGGAAGTCTCTTGGGCTTAGGTGGTGCATCTGAAGATAGCTTTGCTGTTAACCAATTTAAGTTAGATTGATTATTAATCTAATACAGTAATTTATTAAGGAATAAAAAATTTTATTGGCATAATACATGCTACTTACATGCAAAGGTCAAATAGAAAACTTCCTTAATATACTATTTATGTAATAAAAGAATCTCTTTTTACCGAGTGCCAATTCAAAGGCAGTTTCTCATGGTATGACAATATGCTTTTTGCCCCTTTTCTCTCTTTTTTCTTCAATGACATGTAAAAAATTTTTAACATTCATTTTTTAAAATTTTTACTTCCAAATTCTCTCTTTGAGAAGGCAAGCAATTTGATAGACTGTATATGTGTAGTCATGCAAAACATATTTCCATATTATCCATGTTGCAAAAGAAAACAGATTCCCCTCCTCCCCCAAAAAAACAAGAAAAATAAAGCAAAAAGTATGCTTCAGTCTGCATTCAGACTCCATCAGTTCTTCCTCTGGAACTGGATAGCATTTTTCATCGTAAGTCCTTCAGAACTGTCTTACATCACTGTAGTGCTGGGAAGAGCTAAGTCCTTCACAATTGATCACCATACAATATTGCTGTTACTGGGTACAATGTTCTCCTGGTTCTGCTCATTTCACTTTGCATCAGTTCATATAAGTCTTCCTAGGTTTTTCTGAAACCATCCTGCTCATCATTTCTTATAGCACAACAGTATTCCATCACAATCATATACCACAACTTATTCAGTAACTCCCCAATTGATGGGCATCCCCTCAGTTTCCAATTCTTTGCCATCACAAAAAGAGGTGTTATAAATGTGTGTGTATGTATGTGTGTGTGTGTATGTATGTATGTATGTATGTATGAACGTATGTATGTATAGGTCCTTTTCCTTTTTCTTTGATATCTTTGGGATACAGACCTAATAGCTGTATTGCTACATCAAAAGGTATGTACAGTTTGATTGCCCTTTGGGCATAGTTCCAAACCGCTCTCCAGAATGGTTGGATCAGTTCACAACTCCATCAACAACGCATTAGTGTCCCAATTTTTCCACATCCCCTCCAACATTTGTCATTTTCCTTTTCTGTCATATCAACCAATCTGTGTGAGATGGTGCCTCAGAGTTCTTTTAATTAGCATTTTTCTAATCAACAGTGATTTAGAGCATTTTTTTTTCATATTACTGTAGATAGCTTTGACCATTTATCAATAGGGGAATGACTTGTATTCTTATAAATCTGACTCAGTTCTCTCTATATATGTGAGAAATTAAATGTGAAATCTTCCCCCCAGTTTCCTGCTTTCCTTCTAATCTTGGCTGCATTGGTTTTACTTGCGCAAAAACTTTTTACTTTGATGTAATCAAAATTATCCATTTCACATCTCATAATGCTCTCTATCTCTTGTTGGGTTATAAATGCTTCTCTTACCCATAGATCTGACAGGTAAAATTTTCCATGCTCCTTCTACTTTCTTAGGATATTACCCTTTATGTCTAAATCCTGTACCTATTTTGACCTTATCCTGGCATAGGGTGTGAGATGCTGGTCTATACCTAGTATGTGCCAAACTATTTTGCATTAACAATATACTTTTAAAATTAAATATGCATACTCTGCCCTGAAGCAATTCAAAAGTATGCTGTTATTTGAAATGGGCTATAAACAGCTTAGAAAAACATTTCTAAAAACACCTGACATATTAATCATTCTCATAAAAACTCTAAAGGTTAATTTCGTGAGTATCATAATGAAGCAACTTGAGTTTTAATTTTCACAATATTTTAGATTTAGAGGGAAACATTTCTTTAAAAGGATCTTAAAATACAGTGAGAATGCAACAAGTTCATTAATACTTGAAATTTTTAAAATGAATTCAAACTGTCTTGAAACGTATTTTGTCTCTTCCATTTGAACAAAAGAGAAAGGAAATACAGCTAAGAACTCTGTAAAGTCCACTAACACAATTTTATTTTTAATAAACATCATATGTAATATAAAGTCAATAGCTTAACTCCAGATTCCCAGATTTATCAGGATGAGGAGGGAGAGAAGATAAATGATAGATCTCTCGAAAAAGCAATGACATCAGCATATTCTGATCTGGTCTAAAACAGGCCTGTACAACCCGTGCTGCTTGCAGCACTCCAAAGGCTTTCGGATGGCCCACGAAAAATGTAGAGGAAAACATTTGGAAGGCCAACTGAAATCCTTTGGTGTGCTGCAAGCAGCACGTGTTGTGCAGAACCTGGCCTAAAAGGTGTTATTATGTTAGATTAAAAAAAAAATCTTATAGGCAACATAAAAAGATGACTATTACTATAAAAAGTTAATTCTAGCCAATTTCTTAACATTCATTTACAAATTTTATTGATAATATAATAAACTTGAAAAATTACTTTACTTATAGCATTTTATATGTTTTGCTACTGGAGAAGAATATACTTAGAATTGACATATGCAATAGTATAGTCTAAGTGTTGTATTTTTCTCAACAAACTAGCAAAGGCACATAGTAGGAGTTTAATAAACGTCGAATTGAACTACATAAGTGAATAAATGATATAGAACAGCTCAGTACTGTCAATACATGTCTCCACAACACAGGAACTAAAGGTGGCACAAAAGACTTCTAACAGGATGTTGGAGAAACTTCTATGGTTTTGCTGCTGTTAGTATGAAAGGAAAAAAACCAAAACCTGCCACCAGCTGGGAGTCCTCCACCAATCTCTGTATCAATGGTGATATCCATAAGTCAGAAGCAGACAGTGGCCTTTTTCTGATCCTTGCCACATTTCCATCCCTGACACATGAAATCATCCAGCGTTGGCTCACCAGAATTTCCCTCCTGGGAATCCTATGGAATTCTATCTTCTCTCTGAACTTCTTGAAATACCCTTTCCCCAAAGTCCTTGGTAGTTCTCAGACTATGCCCAGAATTCTCTCCTATCTATTATGATCCAAAAGATCATTGCTTCCCCAAATTACCAGCATTTTCACTTCCCCAAACACTTTCAACTTATTGGTCAAAATCCAGCCCAAAACAGCTATTTCTTTATATTTGCCACCTTCTTAAAGATGAATTTAATTGATTAGAGGCACTGTCCAACC